CCGCACGGTGAGGTCGTGACACATGTCCCCCTACAGGCGGATTTTGGACGAAAAATTTAAACATTCAAAACAAGAGCCCCCCAGATAGTCGAGCATGCCGGAGACATCATCCCCAGATGATTTTTGGGCCGTTTGGGACTCTTCCTCCTGTAGAGGGACATGCCGGACTTACCCCTCGGGGGCCTGCTCGCGCCCTGGGATGCCCTCCAGCAGCCGCGCCTCGCCGAGAGCGTGCTGAGCGTGAGGAGGAGGAGGAGGAGGAGGAGGAGGAGGAGGGAGGAGGAGGAGGAGGAGGAGGAGGAGGAGGAGGAGGAGGAGGAGGAGGAGAGGAGGAGGGGGAGGGGGAGGGGGAGAGGGGGGGGGGGGGGGGGGAGAGGCCGAGGAGGCGGAGGAGGAGGAGGGGGGTGGAGGAGGATGGGGAGGGGGAGGAGGAGGAGGGGGAGGAGGAGGAGGGGAGAGGAGGAGGAGGAGGAGGAGGCGGGAGGAGGAGGAGGAGGAGGAGGGGAGGAGGAGGAGGAGGAGGAGGAGGGGGGGAGGAGGCGGAGGAGGGGGAGGAGGAGGAGAGGGGAGGGGGAGGGGGGAGGGGAGGGGGGGGAGGGGCGGGGAGGAGGAGGGGAGAGGAGGAGGAGGAGAGGAGGAGGAGGAGGAGGAGGAGGAGAGGGGAGGGGGGGGGAGGAGGACAAGCTAGGTGCGCTCGCGTCATGTCTGACATCCTACCCCTCCCTCCCATCCCTTACCATGGCGCAGATCCCCTCTCTACTCGCTCAGTCGGATGTCGAGCAGGGCAATGATCCCGAAAGGGTACGCGATGCATTGTAGAGCACGGCATGGCATGGCGTAGAAGAGCACCGCAAAGCGTAGTATCAACCTAGCATTGCATTGCATGCCGTGGCATGGCACGGGAACTGACGCCAGCGCTGCAGCGGGAGCACGAGTCGAAACGAGCGAAAGCGCGGAAATGAGGCCAGCGCTGCAGCGGGAGCACGATTCGGAACGAGCGGGGCCCGAAAATGAGGCCGGCGCCTCAGCGAGAGCAGCATTTTGGAATCAAATGCAGGCGCAGCCCAACTCCGGGGAAACCTGTGTGTAACAAAAACAGTACGCGGGGGGGGGGGGTCGGCCACTTTCAAACCGTCATCAGGGGAAGAGGGAGAGTAGTGCTCATATTGAGTAATTGTGGAGGAGGAGGAGGAGGAGGAGGAGGAGGAGGAGGAGGCCCCCCGCGGGTCGGCCGCTGGGGGTGTGGGCTGTGGTTCGGAAGCCGCCCCGCAGCGGCCAGGTGCCGGGGATCGGTGCAGGCGCAGTCCTGGCCAGGCGCGGAGGTCTGGCGCACATGCTCGCCAATGCATGCGGAGTTAAGCTCGAGTCGGGCCCGTCCCTCTGCAGGAGGAATATTCAAAAATAGTAACAACATCGTCAGGGGATTTGTTTTATTTGTATGTCTTATACATCGCATTTTTGGTGTATTGTTCTCGTATTATATATATACAGGTGCACGGCGCGCAGTGTTCAGCTCGTGGCACTTGCTCGCCTATCGCAGGTTGGCTCGTGCATCGTCTCTGGACGGCAGTTTGTGTCTTGCAGGGTCTAGACCTGAGTTGCGACCGTTTTGGTTGTCACCGCACGGTCTGTGCTTCTCATCTCTTCCTCTTCCTCGTCCTCCTCCTTGCTGTTTCTCCCCTTCCTCCCTCCTCCCTCTACCCCCCTCGGTCTGGGGCAATTCCAGGCTCTTGCTTACTTGTCTGCGCTGGAGTGTTGCCGGCTCTCGTCGCGCAATCGTTCCTCTGGAAAATCGTCTCGGCGATTCTGATTTTGCGCGCGAGTTGTTGGTTGAACAGCTGCGTTTTGTATTGCGAGTTGCTTGTCCGCCGCAGCCCCTACTGAAGAGATTGGCGTCAGCTGTGGAAGCATGTGGTCCGCTCCCATGCTCTCCCTCAAAAAAAAGTGGGTGTACTGTTTTTACCTGTTCTTTATTCTGCGTCCAGAACCCCTCTGTAGGGGGACACGCCCTACCTCCTGCTCGGGAGCGGTGCGGGCGCGGCCCCGGTCAGGCGCGCAGGCTTCGGGGCGTTCTCGGGGGCCTCCTGGGAGCAGGTTGGGGGCCTCCTGGGAGCCCTGCGGAGGCTTTTTTGCGGCCTCGTGGGGGCCTCGTGGGGGATTCTTGGGGCCTCTTGGGGGGCCTGGTGGGCCTCTTGGCCTTCTGGGGGCCCTTCGGGGCCGAGGGCTCGAACTGTCCGTTCGGATTCCCCATCTGGGCCTCCTCTTGGGGCCGTCTTTGGGCCCTTCTGGGCGCCTCTTGGGCTGTTTGGGGGCCCTCTTGGACCGTCTTGGACCGTCTTGGGGCCCTCTTGAGGGCATCTGGGGCTGTCTTGGGGCGATCTTTGGGATCTCGTGGGTCGTCTTGGAGCGTCGGGAAGCCGAACAAGCGAAAACGCCCAAATCCTTCAAACACCAAAAACGAAGATCAATGGTTTTGGCCGTTGCGGGCCGCGTCTTGGAGGCCTCTTGGAGCACTTTGGAGGCCTCTTCGGCCGTCTTGGGGCCATCTTGAGCGTCGTGCAGCGATCGTTCGGCGACTCGGGGCCTTCTTGAGCTGCCTTGAGGCCTTCTGGGGCCTTCTCGTCTTGCCATGGGGCCCCTCTGTTTTCGAACAGACCAAACGGGAAGCCGCGCCACGGCCCAGGGGGCCCGCGCCAAGCCCCAGTAGATATGAGAGTTTGGCATCTGGGCCCCTTAAAGAATGGACTGAGGATCGAGGCTTAGAGGATTGGGCAAGGGACGTGAGAACACGCCCACTCCGTGCCCACCGGCACGGTGGCGGATGAAAGGGGTAAGCGAGGTTGCCCATCAAGGGTGACAGGGGGTATTGGTGAGGGACGGACGGGAGTCTGTCTACTTCCCGAGTGTGAAGGAAGGGAGATGGGACCGTCGTCCGTTGAGGGACCACGGCGATCTTAGTCTGACATGGGGATGGCCAGAGCCCTATGTTCACTGGCAGGTGGCGAGTACATGACGGCGCTGAATTCCGAGATCTTCGTCCGCGTGTGGAAGAAGGCGGCGCCGTCGTGGTTGTCCGGCCTCTCCCTCTACCCTTCCCCGCGGCCCCTCGGAGCCAATGCTCGCCCTGGCGGGTGTACTGTTGCTTCGGCACCACTTTTCTTTCCACCGGGCCTACTTCGTAGTGTTCGTTGTACCCGAGTGTTCACGGGCCAGTGCTCCAGATTTCGTAATAAAAGGGAGGGGGTCTGGACCCTCCAAGACAAGCCATTTCAGACCTCCCCCGTGGGAGAACCCTCCAAAACATCGTCCCCAGACCCCCCAGGCCCTCCAAGATAGCCTGGAAGAGACCCCCCCCCGAAATGAGACCCCCCTCCCTTTATTACGAAATCTGGAGTACACGTTCAATGGCTCACCGATCAAACGTGGAAGAAGGCGGCGCGGGATGGGCCGCGTCTGCCTGGGCAAGCCGCGGCCGCTTCTGTTCGCCGTCCCTCCAACGCCAGCAGGATGGGGGGGGAACCTCGGCCGAGGGACGCACGCCGAAAGGGTTGCTTGTTTTCGCCGTCGAGGCAATACGCCTGAATTCAGGAGGGGAAAAAACACACACAGACACAATTCGTCCTCGATTCCCCAGAAAATATGGGAAAATATGGGAAGTGGGGGGCAAGACGAAAACCCAGAAAATATAGGAACATACGGGTGATCATCTTATCCGTGTGTATTTATTGAAATGGCCTCCGGCCAGTGCCGCCGATCCGGGGCGCTCCGGATGATGATGATGATGACGATGATGATGCTGATGATGATGATGATGATGATGATGATGATGATGATGATGATGATGGTGGTGATGATGATGGATGACGACGACGATGACCTTGTGTTCTCTTGTGGGCCTCTTGGAAGCCTTTTGGAGCCTCTTGGGAGCTTCTGGGAGGCTTATTGGAGCCTCGTGGGCTTCTCTATGCTGTTGGGGACGGAAGACTTGTCATGTTAGAGACAGCTCTCGCTCGAGACATCCTCATAGGATAGAGATGTTGAAATGGCTTGCGGAACTTTCGGATCTTGAAAAATGACGCTCTTGCTTGAGACACATTCGAAATCCGGAGATGTTGAAGTAGCTGTAGTACGACATCTTTTGGGGGCGCTCTTGGAGGACCTTGTGGGGCCTCTTGGGGGCGTCTTGGGGCCTCCTGGGGGCCTCCTGGGCCGTCTTGGGCCCTTCTTGGGCCGTCTTGGAGCCCTTTTGGGCGCCTCTTGGGCCCGTCGTGGAGCCCTCTTGCGCCGTCTTGGGGGCTTCCTGGGCCTGCGTAAGCCCTTCTTAGGCCGTCTTGGAGCCTTTTTGAGGGCCCCTTGAGCCGTTTTGGACACTGTGAAGGCCCAAGAGGCGAACATGCTAAAAATGTAGGGTTTCCTTGGGGGCCAGTTGGGGCCTTTTGGGGCCTCTTGGGGGCGTCTTGGGGCCTCCTGGGGGCCTCCTGGGCCGTCTTGGGCCCTTCTTGGGCCGTTGGAGCCCTTTTGGGCGCCTCTTGGGCCCGTCCTGGAGCCCTCTTGCGCCGTCTTGGGGGCCTCCTGGGCCTGCGTAAGCCCTTCTGAGGCCGTCTTGGAGCCTTTTTGGGGGCCCCTTAAGCCGTTTTGGACACTGTGAAGGCCCAAGAGGCGAACATGCTCAAAATGTAGGGTTTCCTAAGGGAAATCGATGATTGTGGCCGGTCGGGGCCCTTTTGGGAGACCTCTTGGGGGCCTCTGGGGGCGTCTTGGCGGCCTCTTGGGCTGTCTTGGGTTCATGTTCGGCGTCTTGGATCGATTTTTGGGCGATCCAGAAACGTCTTGGCCCGTCTTGGCGGCTTCTTGGTAACGTTTGGGTCCGTTGTGGCCAACCGAACCCCGACCAACCGAACCCAATCTGTGGAAGACCCCCCCCCTCCCCCTACCCCGGCAGAGCCACCCCGGCCCCCCCCCCCCTTCAACTCACACGCCGGATCGGCGGATTTGTGTGTCCTTGGGCCCCTTCAATGTTGCGCTCTCGCTTGGATCTTTTTTCTTGAAGCTTTCGCAGTTATCTTCGATTCTTTCATCGCTTCGCTCATTTCGCTGGCCCGTGTTGCCTCGTCGCTGTCGTTTGTCGGGGTGTTGTTGTCAATGAGGTGCCGTTGGGCGGCCTCTTGGGGCTGAAGGCTGGACTTTTCGGTCCCTGGTCCCCTTATTGGGCCCCTCTTGGGGCCGTTTCGGGGCCCTCTTGGGCCGTCTGGGGGCCCTCTGGGGTTCTCTTGGGCCCATCTTGGGAGCGCGTTGCGCCGTCTGGGGACAATGTTGGAGGCCTCTGTTCTGGACGCTGTGAACCCCCAAACGTCGCACATGCGAAAGATGTACGTTTTCCGATGGGAATGGGGCGATTTTTGCTTGTAGGGGCCCTCTTGGACAGCCTCTTGGGGCTTTTTCGCAGCCTCTGGGGCCATCTCTTGGGCCGTATAGGGGGCGTCCTGGCGCCCTCTTGGCGCGCTCCTGGGAGTCGGCCAGGCATCGGCCGGGCATCGCCCAGGGTACGTTTCGTCTGGGGGTCCCCAGGGGCCGCCACGCGGGCGCGAACTAGAAACATTGCGAACCTGTTACCGGAGATCTGCGCACGCCTCTGGCCTGCGAGTTTCGCTCAAGTAGTACCACACAGACATGGTGCCCTCTCCGGAATCATCGTAGTCGCTCTATCTCAACTTCTCGGCAAGCCAAACCGACTCAAAAGGTAGCTCGCCGTTGGGCCCCCATCTTCCCGCAGCCTACTCCAGATTTCGTAATAAAGGGAGGGGGGTCTCATTTCGGGGGGGGGGTCTCTTCCAGGCTATCGTGGAGGGCCAGGGGGGTCTGGGGACGATGTTTTGGAGGGTTCTCCCACGGGGGAGGTCTGAAATGGCTTGTCTTGAAGGGTCCAGACCCCCTCCCTTTTATTACGAAATCTGGAGTAGGCGAGCGTCCCCTGGAGACCGTGAGCGACCGCAGGTACCTTGAGCCCTCGTCTCGCCTCCGGCCTCGTCCTCGTCCTCGTCGTCGTCGTCGTCGTCGTCGTCGCCGTCGCCATCGCCGTCGTCGCCGTCTTAGTCGTCGTCGTCGTCTTCGTCGTCGTCGTCTTCGTCGTCGTCGTCCTCGTCGTCGTCGTCGTCGTCGTCCTAGATGTCCTCTCCTTTCCCCCTCCTCCTGGCGGGGGTGGCCCTACGGAGCCCTAGGTTGGTTGCGCCGAAAATTGTTACACCACGTATTGCCGATTGCGCCATCGGTTGCACCGAGGGCCGCGAAAGTATAGAGCAGAGTGTCCTGCTGTGGTTGTGCCATGGGTTGCGTCGAGGTCAGCCGAAACTAGAAGCCGTCTGCCTTTGGTTGCCTCATAGGTGGCAAACACGGCCACCGAAACTTGTGCCATTTCTGCTGAAGGTTGCGCCGTACGCTGCGCCCTCGGCTGCCGCAGTTTCAGGCGCGTGCCACTTTGCAGTTTCGCCACACCGAGACGGCACGAGGTAAACAGCACAACAAAAGACCTGCGGTGGTCATCGGCTGCAGGGAGCAGTGAGTGGTGGCTTTCACATGGTTGGCCACGGCCACCACGCCATGCCCTGACGGGCACGGGCGAGCTCCCTCGCGGAGCGCGCACGACTCTGGCGTTCGTTCGTTCCTTCGTTCCGCAGGTCGCGCCCTCGGCCACAGACAATCACAACGACCTGCCATTGGTTGCGCCTTGGGTTGCGCCCTCGGTGGCCGCAGCTTTATAGGGTCCTGCAAGCGGTTGCGCCGTCGTCCTCTTCGTCTTCCTCCTACTCCTCCCACGACAGGCCTCCGCTTCCTCCCCATGCCGTTGTGCGGGGGAAGGTCATGGTGCGGCTTGTCGTCGATCGAAGTTCCCATTGCGTCGCAGCTTGGCGCAGCTGCTTTCCGTCCTCTGCCGTCGGCCAGCCCAGCGGAGGTCGCCGAGATCGGCACCTGGAGGCAGCACGACTGGACCCTCAAGCTCGACCCGGACCTCGGGGAACACCAACCGTACACCCACGCATGCCCGGCCCAGTCAGGCCAGTCGTGGGCCCAGCATCGACTCACAGGACTTCTGCTCAAGCCAGGAGGGCGCCCACACCGATTTTGGCCAGGGTGGTCCTGGCCAGGATCGGTGCAGGTGTATGGCTGGTGTCCTCTCTCGGGTTGACCCAGAAGGGGGTCCAGCGACAAGGGGGTTGTGCAATAGATTTGGTGCAATAGATTTGTGGGGTTGCAATACAATTGAGACGTGCAATACATTCCGGGGCGCAAATGTATTGCTGCATTCGCGCGTGCCATACACCAGCTACGATACAATGCAATACACCTCTCCGGCGCAACACATTTGCAATACAATCGACCCAAATATGTTGCACCACCCCCTCCCAGCTGGACCCCCTTGTGGGTCACCCAAACTCTCAGGACTGCGTCTTCCTCCCCTGGCGCCTCCAGTCCCGGCTGAAGGGCAGCAGCGCCGACGACGAGGCCCGCCCGCCGCTGCCTCCGTGGCGCTCTGGCCCCTGCCCTGGCAATGGCCGCCTATGCCCGGCGTCCGGGGACGGCCTCGGCCGGCCTCGGATGTGCTCTCGGGCTGCACCGATCATGACGACGCAGGTTCGGCTTCTGGGGACCCGCTTGCTGCAGTCCCAGGCGGTCTCGGCGACCTTGGCGACGAGCCGCCTCCCCGCTCGTCCTCGCTGCTCCGACTCCGCGGAATGCTGGTTCCCCGGGCCCCAGGGAAAGAAACACACAGACACAATTAATCCTCCATTCCCAAGAAAATATAGGAAAATGTGGGAATTGGGGTGGAAGGCAAAAACCCAGAACATATAGGAAATTATGGGGCATCATTTTATCGCGAAGGCCTTACGGCCGGTGCCGCCGACCCTGAATGGCGACGACGACGACGACGCCGACGACGAGCGCTCTTGGGGGCCTCTTGGGGGTAGTTTGTAGGCCTCTTGGGAAGCTCTTAGGGGCCGCTTGGAAGCCTCGCGGGAGCCTTGGGGGTCTCTTGGAGGGGGCCTGGGACGTCTTGGAGGCTTCTTGGACGGTCTTGGGGCTATCTTGGGCGTTTTCGGCCGATCTTTGGGCGACTCGGGGCCCTCTTGGGCCGTCTCGGGGGCCATCTGGGGCATTCGGATCTCATTTGGAGTGTTTTCGAGGTTTCTAGGCCGCCCGAGGAATAACGAATCTGCCCCCCCACCCCCCCGCGGGACCCCCCCTGGGACCCCCCCCTCCACCCCGCCAGGACCCCCCCCGGGATCCCCCCCCCCCTGGGGAAGGGCCCCTTCAAATGTGCCTATCCATGAAAGTCAAGTTTCGGCGTATTGCATCGCGACGTGCCCCATCGCCTGGAGCTGCCCCAACGAGTACCGAGTCAGCCGAGCTGCGGATTTTGGTGCCTTCCAGTGTCCATCCTGGCCAGTTCCTCGAGCCGCATCCAGCCATGGCGACGACCACCTCCAGAAGCGCTCCCAGATGATTGTCGGCGTGGGCTACAGGCAGTGTTTTCACCAGCCACGAGGCAGCAGCCACGGGCCATAGGGCATCTCGGCGGGAGCCAGCACTCGCGACGACTGAGACATCATAGGGCACCGGCCGCTGCGGCACCGCCCATCAGGGCACCAGGGCAAGAATGAGAAACCACAACATCTGAGTCATCGTAGAAGAGCAAGCATCGGTTGTGTGCGTCAGGGTGGCAGAGATCGCCTCTCTCTCTCTCTCTCTTTAGGACCCCCCTTAGGGGAGACTGCACTCTGGTGGGTGCGCGTGCCGCGAGTCGGTGCCGAGTGTCGGTGCCGAGTGTCGGTGCCGAGTGTCCTTGCCGAGTGTCGATGCCGAGTGTCGGTGTCGAGTGTCGGTGCCGTTCGTCGTTGACGCGACGAGTGTCGGCGCCGATCGTGGTTGATGCGGGGGGTCTCTAAAGAGCTGCCCCACAGACACACACGGCATAGGGCACCCTCGATGGAGCACCAGGACAATTGACGGTGCACGGCGACGACTGAGGCATCGTAGAGCACCAGCTATAGGGCGCCACCTGTAGAGCACCAGGGCAAGCCTGCGAGCATGCAACGCTTGTGGCACCATGCAGCACCAACCACAGGGCGCCACTCACGAGGCACCAGGGCCAGCAAAGTGCTTCGCAACAACTTCGGCGCCACACAGAAGCAGCCATCGGGCGTCGCCCATCTGGCACCAGGGCAAGAACGAGGCACAACTCACAGCGAGGCCAGCTCGAAGGAGAAGAAGCTTTCGGAACTCCGCGCAGAGCTTCTAGAGTCCAGGGCGAGCGCCTCGTCCAGGGGAAGGCCTGTCTCCCCCCCGCAGCACTGGCAACCGCCTTCGAAGGAGAAGCAGCGGCACAACTTTAGTCAGGAGGGACAAAAGCACTGACACAATTAATCGTCGATTCCTCAGAAAATATGGAAAAATATGGGAAGTGGGGGGGAAGACAGAAACCCAGAAAATATGGGAAACTATGGGGAATCCTGTTATTTGTGTGTATTTATTTGTGTGTCCCAGGGCCCCTTCATTTCGGAGGTCCGCACGGATCTCTCGGCTCGGCGCTTTCCCCCCCCCCCCCCTCCCATGGCGCGCCTGGGGCGGCGCCGGAGGCGCGGCCCAGGGACCCGGGGCGTGGCGCCGATCCCAGCCGTGCGCGCAGGGAGCCCCGAGAGCCTGCGTGTGTGCAGTCTTTGCCGTTTCTGCCCCCTCCTCCTCCTCCTCCCCCTCCTCCTCTCTCTCCTCCTCCTCCCTCCTCCCTCCTCCTCCTCCTCCTCCTCCTCCTCTCCTCTCCTCCTCCTCCTCCTCCTCCTCCTCCTCCTCCTCCTCCTCCTCCTCCTCCTGCCTGCGCGTCTTGGAACCAGGCGGGCCTCCCACGCCTCGGGTGGAGCCCTCCCCCCCCCTGTCAGGGGGCGGCATCCCAGCAGGCGCTGGCGCGCCGCGGGGGAGCCGCCGCGCGGCCTCGGTGTCTCTTCCGGGCTGCCCACGGCCCTTTCCAGGCGAGCCCCCCCCTTGGGTGGTGCTAGGTGTGGTCCTGGCCCAAGGTGTCCCCGTGCGCTCCACGCCACTGGAGCTCGTGGGGCCCTACGGGCCTCGTGTGGGGGGCAATCTTGTGCCAGGGCCAGGCCCGACCCTCGCCCAGGGGCAGGCCTGCTTCCCCGCGGCACTGACCATCGTCATCGAAGGAGGAGCAGCTGCACACACGAGCACTCTTGGAGGGCCACGAAGACTTCTCGGATCGGTGCTTCTGCCCGTGCAGGTTCTGGCTCTTACACGCCTGCCGCGAAGATCCAGGGGCCTCTGAGGCGGTCTTGGGGCGTCGGGAAGCCGAAAAGGCGAGACGGCCAGCATCCGCCAGAAACCTGAGGACAAGCGGCGATCTTTGCCTCCGGGGGGCCTCGGGAGGCCAGGCGGCCTCCCGGAGGCCTCGTTTTGCCCGGCCTGGCACCCTCCCGCAGGGGATTCCATGCGAACCCCACCCCTACCCCCCAGGATTTCTGAAGGCGGAGGGCCAGGGAGGAGGAGGAGGAGGAGGAGGAGGAGGAGGAGGAGGAGGAGGAGGAGGAGGAGGAGGAGGAGGAGGAGGAGGAGGAGGAGGAGGAGGAGGAGGAGGAGGAGGAGGAGGAGGAGGAGGAGGAGGAGGAGGAGGAGGGAGGAGGGAGGAGGCGGAGGCGGAGGAGGCGGAGGCGGAGGAGGAGGAGGAGGAGGAGGGAGGAGGAGGAGGAGGAGGAGGAGGGAGGAGGAGGAGGAGGAGGAGGAGGAGGAGGAGGAGGAGGAGGAGGAGGAGGAGGAGGAGGAGGCGGAGGCGGAGGCGGAGGCGGAGGCGGAGGAGGAGGAGGAGGAGGAGGAGGAGGAGGAGGAGGAGGAGGAGGAGGAGGCTCCGTAGCCATTTGGCTCAAGCTACGGCCAGCAGATTGTTCCATAGCGTGCATCGCTTACTGAACGTCCTCCCTTTTGTGGCTCTCGCAATGTTTCCTGATCCGAAGTCGGATGTATTTTCTCTTGTCGCTTTCCTTCACAGGGCAACTTTGCTTCGCCTTTCAAAAGCTTGCGGCAGCCCTCTTCAAGGCTGTTCATATGGAGCAAAGAAATGTGAAATGACCTCCCACTGGAGGCGCAGGTGTCGGGAGCTGGACACTATAGCAGGATGGTCGAGGAAGATCTCCCCAGAGAAAGTCAGTCAGTTTCTCACTGAACTCGACTTGGAGCTCTCGGGCCAGAGGGGACACAAGGAGGACGATGTACAACCTGACAGTGGCAATGCATCCGAATTCTCTCCGCCAGGCCCATCGGAGGGAGCCTTACATTCTGAATCTGGACAGGAAGTTGAGTTCTTCAACATATTCGAAGAGCGCTCAAATGTGGCAACCCAGACTTCACACGGCGAGGTCGCAAAGGCCAGCGTGGACATTGAGAGCCAAACCGACATCAACACAGCCACTGGGTGCTTCATCATGGACGAGATTGGGCTGCTGAGCACTACCGCCAACGCCGCGGTGGCCGCTCTACACCAGCAGCTGCAACAGGATGTCTCATCTCTTGATTTACTGTATGAAGAGGCTATGGCACAATCTTTACTTGTGGAGCCACACATGAGTACGCACAGCAGTGAACACGATGGCCATGAATGGGCCAGTGATTGCAGTGAGTTTGAGGAGTACTTGTTGAAAGTTCGTGCTCTCCTTCCTGTCGCACTTCGGGGCTTTAGCGTGTGTGCCGCCTCGGCATGCCAGAAGGAAGAGCCCGAGACAGCCGGCGCCGCTGAAGACAAGACAGCGGACGAGGCTGACGGGAGTTCAACGTTTGAGGACTTGTGCAGCATTGGCAATTTGTCAAACAGTTCTGCAGAAGGCTACCCGTGCAGGAGGTGTGCGGGAATATTCGGGCGCTCATCATTTTTGGTCCCTTCGAGCCCGTCTGGCAAAGCGAAGTGTTACAGCTGTGGGGATAAATGTGCCAAGTTCAAGAGGGCCGTCCATTGTAAGAGTTGTAATACATGGGCACACGATATATGCATCGCCTCCTTCTTCGCTTGCAATCCTAACAAGCCAGAGGGCTAATGTGAATGAGGCTATGAATGCAGCTGCTCGCAGCAGACTCCTCAACAGCTGATAGGGCGAGGCATGAAGGCAGCTTTGCCTGAGACTCTGGGCCACTGCCCAGCAGATGCCTCCACAGCTTTCCCTCGACCCCTTATCCCTCCATGTCTTATTTATCTTATCTTCGAGTTGAGGAGGAGAAGGAGGATCTCCCCCCTGTCCTCCGCAGCTGCTGCACACGCACCTTGGAAGCACCCGCGGCATTTTGTCGCAAAGGAGTGGGCCATTTTAGGCCACGTGTGCTTCCAAGCAGCTTAGAGAGTGAGGCTGTCGCTCTCTTTCCTAAACAGCGAAGCTTGGGTCCTCTTTGGAACTTCAGACTTATATGATGCTGTTTGGTATCTTCGCTGTTTAGGGTCAGCCTCCCTACAGCCAGGGTGC